CGGACTACTAACCTCATTCCCAAAAGCCTGGATGTACAGAGTGTGTGGCGAAGCAAGGATGATCGTGGCCCAAAGTAGTTACGCTGCTACACACAAATCACGAATCATGGCCAGCAGCCTTGGAAAAACTATTAGAGAACACATAAGGGTGCGTGTGCAGACCTCGACGCAAGAACCGGCGGGCTGGTTCTGCCTTACGACGAAGTGCAGCCCTTATAGGCGTGTGAAACTGCATCCGCGGTCACTCTGCAAACTGCGCAAAGTTTCAGTGCTGAGGGCTTTCGGATTCACAGTCAGAGGCTTCCGGGATCTTAAAGATCTTGAAGCCCAACACGTTCTACAAAGAGAGGCACCTACTTGGAAGACCCAAAAGGCGAAAACAGTGTATTTCCTCTGAGTTGGGGGGGTTTAAGGTCCTGCAGGGGTTCGAGGTCTTGTATAGCTTAGAAGCTAAGGGAGAAAGCAGTAGGCTCTATTTCGTGTTTCAAGTGCCCCTCACTGGCCATTGCTATGTTATGCTGTTTTATGCTATATTATACTGTACTATATTTCGATTATGCTATGATATGTTATGTTATGTGATGCTATATAAAACGGCATAAAAACATTTATGTTATATGACATTAAATTGTGGTATAGTTTCTTTTGTAGTATAAGATATTTTATCATACACTATATATTATCTACGAAATTACGTATGTGAGTTGCTTGCTGGCTCGCCTGATCTTCCAAGTAGCTCGCGAAGCATCACCCAAAGGGTCCCAAGTACCTTTACTAGTAGAGTGTGGGGTTTCGGGTGTAGGGTCTTTGCAATAGGGTTCCTAAGTACCTATGTGGTAGAGTGTAGGGTTTAGGGCTTGGGGTTTAGAATCGTTTCATAGGGTTCCTAAGTACCTCTAATCGTAGAATGTAGGGTCTCTACAATAGGAATTATCAGGGCAGGTATCCCCGATGATTTAGGGGCCTTAAAGATTAGAATAGGGTTTTGGGGCCCATGAATCTATACTAATAATCAGGAACCCGTCCCTCTATTTAGGCCCCCATTTATGACTTACTTAGGCCCCCCATATTACTTACTTAGGCCCCCATATTACTTACTCAGGACTCCATTTGACTTACTTCGGACCCCATATATTACTTACTCAAGACCCTTTGAGGTCCCTGACCTTCAGCCAGTTGACATCCCGCCTCGGAGCCGACGTGTCAAGACAAGCGCACAGCTGGGACACATGTGACTTCGTCGTTCCTATAGTCTCGAGTCTAGTTCCTATTTCGGTGCTACCTGATAGGGTTCTATATAAAAATATAAAAAATTTGTTGTACCAGTCGTTCGTAAAATCTCGATTGCAGTTCCTATTTCGGGGTGGCCTTATAGGATTCTAAACAAAAGATTGGCTAAACCAAAAACAGAGCTACCTTGTAGGATTCTAAATTAAAACTGGTTAAACCAACAAAAAGAAGTACAATGGAGACTTTAGGTTCTACCGGAGGATTTCTGCGCAAGTAACGGCTGGAGCCTTGGAAAGGCATGGCAAAGGTGACACTACAACAGCCACGCTCTGGCACACATGCGCAAACGAAGAGACCGGTTCTGTTCAGTTGCTTAGAGCTGGGTAGAATTTAGCACTTGGCGGACGAAAAGGGGCCAAGTGCTGCTTGGAGTTTGATGTCAATAATCCCGACACGGCATTCCGCACAGGACAATTCCTGAAGCCCACCTGCCACCGATATCGCTTCTGAGCCCACTGCATTTAGCGACGGCGATCCCGGTCGCGATCGCCACGGTCGCCACGATCCCGGTCACGATCCCGATCGCGATCACGGTCCCGATCCCGGTCTGGCAGGACAGGGTGCCAGACTGAATTTTAACGGCCCTGCAAGCCACATAAACACCGTTAAACATCGCAAATTCTGCAACTGCCGCAGTTGCGGACTGTTCCCGATGTGTGGCGCTTGTGCTCTGGTGCACTAAACTACAACAGCAGCGAGACTGAGCAACATCCGAACTTCGAAGCCATCGCTGGCCGTAGAATCCCCAACAACACTTAACAAGTTACCACTCTGGTCCGAAGCCCTAAATCCTAAACCACTATGGCTCTGGCTCGCCTCCACCGCCGCCGCCGCCTCCTCCACCCGGGCCCTGGCAGCGACATGGTTCGAAGACTTGAAAGCTATGGAACTGTTGGGTAGGGCTTGGGTTTCTGGGTTCATCATCTTCGAGAGTAGCTTGGGTTTTAGGACGCTTTCGGGAAGTTTCAGGATGCGCCGTTGTAGCTGTTTGGCTCTTCAGTCAACAGCTCCAGTCCCCTAATCACTAGGATTCCCTCAAAACTACCGGCGTCGAACCTGGAAACGAAGGCTGTCATTCCATATCACTTCACAAACCAGGGAGCTTTCATGCTTTGGGGGGAAAAGACAAGCTACAGTAAGACATCGACTGAGTTGGGCCATCCACGGGTTTGTTTGTGACATGCCGCAGACTTGTCATGAGCCTCAATGCTACCCCCTGTGGCAATACATGTCTCTACCCCTTTGCATCAACAAAAATGCCCAAAGACGGAACGGGAGTCCACTCTCGAAGTGTGGCTTTGCATCACTGCCTGCGCATGCAAATCAGCTTTTTCCCAAAGGCCACCATGCTCAGGCAAGGATATTGATGCCGTGGCACGGCTGCGAAAATGAATGTGCCCACCTGGCCTGTAGGACTGCGTTCTGTTGGCAAGGGCCAGGCAGATCTGCTTGAAGCCAAGACCCCAAAAGGATTGTGGCTAGAAGGCATCACTGTACAATGCTCAGAATGTGATCTAGGTTCGGGTACAGCAGGACAAAACAAAATGGAATGGTTTGGTCGCGGCTTACTTGCGAACTCCAACTTCAAAGGTCAAGCACCTCTGGGTAGGTCCAAGTAACCCCAAAACTGCCCTCACACATGCTATCAGTGCTCCAAATACCGAAACAAAGCATCAAGCCCTCACCGTCTACCTAACTCCCCGATCGTGTTCCAAAAGAAGCACGGCTGTTCACTCGGTTTTGCTTGGCATGTCTTCTTCAAACCTCACCCCGCTGACTCTAATGATCTTGAGTCGTGAAGTATTACCGGGCTCCGTCTTGCATTCCAATTCCAGCAAAAGCTTGGCAATAATCGAAACCTTACAAGAACCCTTATGATAGTCTCATAAAAGATTGATACAAGCCTTCTGGGACCCTATTATAACCCTGAACCCTAAACCTTCCAAACCCTAAATTCCTGCAGCCCTAAACTCTAAACCCTAAACCCTTGTAGGACCCCACTATAGCCCTAAGCCCTACAAACCCTAGCCTTGGACCCCCGGGAGCTCCGGTACTAGGCCAGTTCTCAAGAGCAGCTTTGCGGGTGAAGCTTGCAGTTCCTTGGAGAAGTGGGTGTCTCTTCGTCAATAGCCGAGTCCATGATAAAAAAGAACTTTCTAAAATAGACGAGCAAAACAAGGCCAAAAAAGTTTATAGTTCTCCCATTGGCTAAGTAAGGGTTTTTGAGGTTTATAGCGTTTCGACCGGTTTAGGGGCATAGGGTTTCGACTTTACGGCTTTGGGGGTTTAGGGCTTGTAAGGTTTTTTGCGGGCTGTTTAAGGGTAAGCGGTTAAGGGTTTTAGGGGGCTGCTCGGGTGTTATTTAGGGTTTGGGGCTTGTGGAATCTGAGGCTTCAGGGGCTTACGGTTTAGGGCCTTTGGGCTTTCTAGGTCTTCCAGGGTTTGTAGATAGAGTAGTCTAGGGTATATACAGCTTAGAGGGTTTAGAGTTTGAGGGGTTTCGTTTTTAGGGAAGATCGGTTTCGACTGTTGGATGTTGGCTGATTTTAAGGCTTACGGGCAGCTCCTTGGCTAAGTTGGGGCTTCTGGCTTCGGCATTGCCAGACCAATGAAGTGAGATCCTCGCGATAAGGTTCGCCCCTAAACCCTACATTCCCTACATCTTAAAACCCTAAACCCCAAAGTTTGAAAATCCTCCAACCTAAGCACTAGACCCTAAATGTCAGAATATGGTTTAGTCGTAGTTCCAGCTCACACGCTCGCACTAGCCGAGAAGACTGCGTGTTTAGGTCCCTTGGAGCCCTGAGAGTAGTGATGCCACGAAATAACTACTAGTGGCTTCTAGGCCAGCCGCATCATCACAACACTTTATAAAGCAGCTCTGCGTATGATTCTATTGACTTGGCGTTCTTGCAATGTCGACGTGGCCCTGTTTGTTGACAAGACTAGGTCTCTTAAATTAGTATAAAATCCTTTTGTAGTTCCCTATGGCCAAAAGAAAACAGGCTCGACACTTCCTATAGTCGCTCGAACCCAGGGCTTGGTGTTCGCTTGCGGCTTTGCATTTCATGGCTTCTGCCGGGATTTAGGAACAATGTCACGGGTAAGCAGCAGCTGAGCTTTTCTCACATGAAGCGGAATCCGAAAGCCCCACATCCAAACGAATCCGCTCACCATTCTGCCATGCATCAGGCAGTAGTTGACATCGGAGAGGCTAAGAGAGAGGAACTGCGGGTTGTGAGACATCTGCTCCTTGGCTCCAAATTCGTGCATCTGGGCTTTGAGACTTAAGTCCAACATAGGTGTTTCGGGGTTTGCTAAACCGCTAAACCCTTACTTTAAGGCACCCTCGGGAACAGTACTTTGCAATTGTTCATGCTCTATATTGATTCTCAGGGTGTTGAGGCGTCAGGGTTTATGGACGCCTACAAGGATGGCTAATTGGCTCGATAAGTCTCTGACGGCAACAGTGCAGTATAGTATAGAATGCTCAAGTCTAGTCCAGTACGGTATAGTGAAATATAGTAGAGGACTACAGTAAAGCGGCATATAGCAAAGTATATAATCATAAAGAGCAGTATAGAACACTAGACTATAGAACAGCATAGAGTAGTACAGAGTAGTATGCTATAGTATAGAGAATAGTATAGAGTCGTATAGTATAGTATAGTATAGTATAGTATAGTATAGTATAGTATAGTATAGTGAAGTCAGTCTAGCGGGGTATAAACGTATAGAATAGCACGGCTAGGTGCCCATCGACCCTGACTAAAAACCTCCATGGCTGTTTCAGAACCTGGCTGCTCATACGTTCTTGGGATGGGCTCTTGTCTGATATTAAAATCCGAACCAGGGATCAGATTAGGATGGAGCTTGCAAGCTTTGCGGTCTGAACAAATTAGCTTGAATGAAACCCTGTTCATGCAAGGCTCCATGGGGTTGGTCGAAACGGACTTCGTCATGATGGCGTCGACATGCGGCTTGATGGCTACTGCCTCAAGCTGCTTTGATACTGGCACAGACTCCCAGCGCAAGGACTAAGGACCTCCTTATCATTGTTAATACCACTATTCTGGCTATTACCATGAACAACATACTTGTGAGAGCATCTTGGTGAGCATTCTTATTGTTGATCTTATGTTACCATTGTTGTTATGATTGTTGCTATGATTGTAATTCTTATTATTTCGAGTAGTGCGCAGGAACAAACCTTCGGGGGATCGTGGTCCCTAACCCGAAAGAGACGACTTCGCAAAGGTCTCCTGGAGCTCGCTGCGCACCAAACGGCGGCTAAAACAACACCGATGACTGCATACCGTGAGTACATCATGTCATCGCACAGCTTGTTGTAGGATAGTAGCATAACGAAGTATATTACAGTAAAGCACATGATAGGGTAGTACTTTAGAGGATAGTACAAGATTAGATAGAAGATCATGAACCACACGCGGCTTTCAATCCGAAGGTGCCAGGTACTCTGGAATGCCGCTGAGCGGATAGTAGCCAGTAGGGGGGATCTCTGCAGCGACCACCTGTCAAGAGCCACGGTTTAGGGTTCAGGTGTCTTAGTCGGTGTGAGGTTCAGGGCTTAAGGGTGTAGGGCCCAGGGTTTAGGTCATGCAGCGTCCAGCAGCATACAACCTGAACCCATTTTCATGCATGCCTGTCCTTGCTTCAGTAACTAGGCATAGACTCCTACTCAGAAGAGCGCTTTATGAGGGGCATCGTCCGGGCCTATAGAGGGTGACAAGCTCAGGCACCATGGCTCTGGTAGACGAGTTTCAAGGTTACTTATTGTAGGAGGCCCGCAGCTTCAACAGCTCTAGTATGAGACACTGTGCGGCACGCAGTGCCCAAGTCTCCTGCGATAACACAAGACCATCTGCGCTGCTTCTGCATTCTCATCAACACTCACTATAGAGCTGCAATAAACGCTAAACCCTGGAAAGGCACCTGCATGTAATAGTTGTTCTTGCGGTCGTACAGCGGGATGAACCCAAAGGCTCCTGTGCCATCAGAAACCCGGGTTAGTCTTTTTACCCATAGGCTCCATGGTAGCTCCTTTTTTGTGGCGGATATTTAGGATCCTATACGGTAACCCCCAAAAAAGGAACTACAATGGAGCCCATGGGTAGGGGATGTTGGTTTGTGCCGTTCTGGCGGAGCAGCGGACTTCGGAGGTGAAGCTTACGCTCAGGAGATCTTGTGCTTGAGCACTACAATGCCGGGTTTAGGGTTCGGCGCTCACACTCGGACAGTCCAGGCATGTGGTCTGAGGTCGGCATGGTGAAACAAGCTCAGGGGATTCGGACTCCCTACACCCTAAACCCACAACCGGACTTGCAGCAACAAGACTTACAGACTCCAAACCTGCGAAGCAGGAAGCGTCCACTAATTCCCCATTCCAAATGTCCTGTGCCCCGATCAAGCTACTCTAGTTGAGGACATCAGGCGAACAGCTACAAGAGAGCACTTGAAGGGGAAGGGTCGGGTTTAGGGTTTAGGGTATGTCGGAGACGCATGGCGTCTCCGGAGTCAGAGATGAAAGGGGTGTGCTACACCCGGCACTCGGAGGGTTGTTGGACAAAGCAAACAAAGAGCTTTCTTGCAGGGTCGGAAATACGGGAAACGGGGGGGACGTTGCCGAAAACAAGGGCAGCAAATGCAACATTAATACTGTTTCAAAGGTGTACCGACTCGATAAGTTTCCTGTCGCTCTGAACAATGGCAGCAACCGTCCTAGAGAATCACAATATCGGGGATTGCTGTGCAATCCACACCCCGAGCAGTCCTGGGTCCATGTGGCAGTGTGCCTGCCGGGTTTCACTGGGTTCCAGATCAAACTTCACATTCAGTCAGCGAAGTGACTACAGGGTCGCAGGCACCACCAAACCCTAAAGCCTTACTGGGGCCATACAATGTGTAAGTTTTTAAGAAGACTCATGGCTGGGACAAGTGCAGCATGCTGCATCCGACCCCGAAACGACCCTGACTTTGTAGGGACGGTTCAGGGTTTACGGTCAAAGACAAGGTTTAGGGTTTTTTCCTCTAGGTTCAGGGTTTGGGTTCCGAGCAGCATAGAGTATGTAAGCCATAACAGTCAACACTGCATAGGGTGGAAGAAAACACCTGTACGACTTCCGAAGCCTATCAACAGAAATTGGCACGTCCATTGCCCTGCCTGCCCACCTGACGGGATTTCTGTTCTCCATGCTGACTGCTGCAAGGTGAGGAACTTGCTACAGTAGGGACTTCAGAATAGACTCAATAGACATCTCTCTAACTGTTCTGATCAGCTCAAGCTACATATACCACATGTCTTCCATGACCTGGAGTACCAAAGCGTGGCAGACAATACTGTCCAAACACAGTGCACAGCATCCACGCCAGGACGCCTAATCCAGAACAAACCCCTACCTGTCATCTCAGGAAGGACATCACACCAGCCAAAGCCGTAGGCTTTCCTTAGGTCTCAAAAACAGTAATCCCTAAACTCACCCCTGCCTGAAGGACGGAAAGACTCTTTGACAGCATGGGGCCCAAAAACTTGCAAAAACTCCACAAACTGAAGGGGCCTGTGCCCCCACCCTGCCCTTGCAGATTATGAGGGTTTAGAGTCTCGGCTTCAGGGTTCAGGACTGCGCCTCCTCGCACTCCTTGGTGAAACCCTTCACGCTGTCGAAGCACATGAGGAAGTGGCCAAAACCGTAATCCTTGCTTGGTTGAGCCATCTCCCCCAACCTTAAACCCCTAAAGCCGTAATCCTGGCTTGGCTGAGCCATCTCCCCAAGCCCCAAACGCCTAAAGCCGTAATCCTGGCTTGGCTGAGCCATCCCAAGCTTGCCCTGTCATGGGAAGTACGGATTATGGTTGGCCAGATAGGACACATAAAAGCGAGGACGAGATACGTGCAGGACTGTGGTCTAACTTTACCTAGCTGCTTATCTATCTATCGATCTATCTATCTAGCTATGTATCTATCTATGCATCTATCTATGTATGCTTCTATGTATCGGTCTATCAAGCCTCCATATCTCTGTAACTATCTATATCTATAGTATATATAGTGCATATATATATATATATATAAATATGGCGTCGTCTCGATCTACGTTTTTTGCACTTATAATATAATCGCAAGGTGCATGTTCTAGTACGTTCATATATACACGCGAATGAGCCGGTGCGACGAACATTAAGTTTCGTGCCCAACTGCCCCGCAGCCCGCGCGGTGCCATGATGACGGCTGCATGCGATGCAGTCTTGCAAAGCTCCCATGTCCAAAGTCTCCAAGTGTGGTGATGCTTTCTTCGGGCCGCTCGCTTTGTACTGCCGGGAAATAACCTGTCGGAAACAGACAACAAAGAGATGGAGGGCACCGATCACGACAAGAGAGTTCGTGGAGTTTGTGTCAAACTCCTTCAAGCGCCAGATAATGGCCTGTGGCGATGATTAGAGAAGAATCAGACATTTACATGTCCTTAACACCAAGCCGGGACTTTCCCCGCATGTGGCCAAGGCTCGCCATAGAGGGTGTAGAAGTCCTGTGGATGCGGAGTGGATGACTCTCAGGTGTCGGTTTCTTGTTGCTCTTGAAGTGCTTCTCTTCTTGCCGTTGCCACCCATCTCTTAAGCTTACGACTACCGGCATCGTAGAATATGCCTGTAATGTTCACCAGGGCTCTGTTCTTTTGCCATCTCTTCCTGTAGTCTCCATTGTAGTTCCTTTTGGGGGATATCCTA